ATTAATATGTGTATGTGTGTGTTTGTGGGTTGAATGGGTCGATGGTTTTTCTTTTTTTTTTTTGTTTTTGTTTTCAAGCGTAACTTTTTTATTAAAAATCTATTACTTTGCACAAATCTGAAAGAAACACATTGATGTATTTAAAAAAAATTAATAATAAACAAATATTTAGAGCTTTTTAACAAAGAAAACACAATTGCTTTGAATTCAATTCAAATTTTAGTTTTTTTAGGCACGCGTACGCGTTTTTCAAGCCAGTTTAGAGGACGAACGCACACAACGAAATACAAACGCGATTCGGTGGCAGTGAAGGTGTATGGCGCAACGGCATTCCAAAGCAGCGCACATACATACATACATATGTATATAACCGTTACAGCGCACTGACGCTTTCACATGACAGTGTTAATGAAATTAACCTTTCAATAGCATTTAAATATGCAGCTGGCACACACCTACGGCCGTCTATTTACGCGAAATATTTATGTGCTTAAAGACTTAGCGAGAAATATTTTTGCACAAAAAAATCGCAAAACGAAAATTGCGCTTGAAATATTTCGTTTTCACTTGTGTATGTATTTATATGCGCAATTGTGTATGTATGTGTGGCAAAAGTATTTTTTTTTATGAATTTCTCTCCAGACAAATAATAGAAAATAACTCGCACTAAGAAWTTTATTATTTTTTTTATTTTTATTTTTTTACTTTGCTTAGCTTTTCATTGCACACCTCGCACCTCTGTATGTAATATTTATAGTAGCAGCGTCGTCGTTGTCACTCATACAATTCCTTACACTTTGTATGTATACTATGTTTGTTTGTTGCTCGTTCACACGGATTGCAGCACAGCTACTAGCCGTGGTGCTATTGCCACAAATTACGGAAACACAAAATGTACTGAAATCGTTGCGCGAGCTTTTCTAACTGTTTTTCATCTCCTTCAAGTTGTCATGAGTAAGCGCACGAAACAGGTAACACGCCAATGTGAGGGTGGATCTGCAATTCTGTGCAGCCGTGGCGCACGTACGCACCACCACCAAGTGTCAATTTAGTTTTGCGGTTGGTAGCACTGATTTGCTGATAAAAATGTGTAAACACAACGRAAAGTTTGAAGATATCAAAATAATAAAATAAAAATTCAAACGAATGCGTTTTTATAACGGTTGATTCAAATTGGATAACCGGTAGTTAGCCAATTGTGCAATAACARGTGCATTTGTTGACAAATAAATACCGTTATATTGTTATTGAACATAGGTATTTAATTATATGTGCATACGCGCTTAAAAGTATGCAACGAAATTACATAATATGAGCACTAATCGTTTAAGTATAATGATATTTGTGCTTCGAATGTATAAAAATGTGTTAAGCGATAAAAGTTTTAATTTTTTGTAACAAAAACTGGCATAAAAATGTATTTAGCGCGAAAATTTTAAATTTTATGAAATAATATATATTAAAAATGTAACATTTTCTATGATTCTTAAAATTAGTTTCTCATCTATAAGCTGTATTTTTSAAATGTAGCGCCTAAAATTATGCAAGGATTTTWTTTTWTTTTATTTTATTAAAGCTTACATAATAAACAAATTATTAAATAAACTAAAGTACGCAGCGCTAGCATCAAAGGCTTTCGGCTGAAATGATGCAAGGATTTATATTTATTTATTTGAACGTTTTGGTGTCACATTTTTGTTTCATGTTGTCTTAAATATTTTATTATAATATTAATTTTTTGAAACGAAATCTTGATTAAAAATGTATTTAGCGTGAAATATTTCAATTTTCTGAAGCAAAATTTTTGAAATATTTATACTAAAAATATTAGTTTCTTAACTTTATGAACTTTATCGCCTATAAGTATGCAGCGAAAATTTTATATCTTTATATTTGATCGTTTTGTCGAGAAATTTTTAGCACATGCCAGCTTAAAATTATATTTTTATTGCAAAATTACTTTTTCATCTATACGCCACATTTTTGAACTCTACCGCCTAAAAGTATGCAACGAAAAATATATTTTTTATTTATTTGAACGTTTCGCGGACAAATAAAAACAAATATTTTATTATAATTTAAATTTTTGTACACAAAAMATTGSATAAAAAWGTATTTAGCGTGAAATATTTCAAWTTTCTGAAACAAAATTTTYGAAATRGCATATTAAATACYAATTTATACTAAAAATATAACAATTTCTTAACTTTAT